AAATTACAGGCCTCTCTCATCTTTTTAAGTGGGAGAACTTGCACAATTGGTGGCTGACTAAATACTGTTTTTCCCCACTGTACATACATACATACACACACACACACACACACACACACACACACACACACACACACACACACACACACACACAGTGGGGAAAAAAAGTATTTAGTCAGCCACCAATTGTGCAAGTTCTCCCACTTAAAAAGATGAGAGAGGCCTCTAATTTTCATCATAGGTACACGTCAACTATGACAGACAAATTGAGAAGAAAAACAAATCCACAAAATCACATTGTAGGATTTTTAATGAATTTATTTGCAAATTATGGTGGAAAAGAAGTATTTGGTCAATAACAAAAGTTTCTCAATACTTTGTTATATACCCTTTGTTTGCAATGACACAGGTCAAACGTTTTCTGTAAGTCTTCACAAGGTTTTCACACACTGTTGCTGGTATTTTGGCCCATTCCTCCATGCAGATCTCCTCTAGAGCAGTGATGTTTTGGGGCTGTCGCTGGGCAACACAGACTTTCAACTCCCTTCAAAGATTTTCTATGGGGTTGAGATCTGGAGACTGGCTAGGCCACTCCAGGACCTTGAAATGCTTCTTACGAAGCCACTCCTTCGTTGCCCGGGCGGTGTGTTTGGGATCATTGTCATGCTGAAAGACCCAGCCACGTTTCATCTTCAATGCCCTTGCTGATGGAAGGAGGTTTTCACTCAAAATATCACGATACATGGCCCCATTCATTCTTTCCTTTACACGGATCAGTCGTCCTGGTCCCTTTGCAGAAAAACAGCCCCAAAGCATGATGTTTCCACCCCCATGCTTCACAGTAGGTATGATGTTCTTTAGATGCAACTCAGCATTCTTTGTCCACCAAACACGACGAGTTGAGTTTTTACCAAAAGGTTCTATTTTGGTTTCATCTGACCATGTGACATTCTCCCAATCCTCTTCTGGATCATCCAAATGCACTCTAGCAAACTTCAGACAGGCCTGGACATGTACTGGCTTAAGCAGGGGGACACATCTGGCACTGCAGGATTTGAGTCCCTGGCGGCGTAGTGTGTGACTGATGGTAGGCTTTGTTACTTTGGTCCCAGCTCTCTGCAGGTCATTCACTAGGTCCCCCCGTGTGGTTCTGGGATTTTTGCTCACCGTTCTTGTGATCATTTTGACCCCACGGGGTGAGAACTTGCGTGGAGCCCCAGATCGAGAGAGATTATCAGTGGTCTTGTATGTCTTCCATTTCCTAATAATTGCTCCCACAGTTGATTTCTTCAAACCAAGCTGCTTACCTATTGCAGATTCAGTCTTCCCAGCCTGGTGCAGGTCTACAATTTTGTTTCTGGTGTCCTTTGACAGCTCTTTGGTCTTGGCCATAGTGGAGTTTGGAGTGTGACTGTTTGAGGTTGTGGACAGGTGTCTTTTATATTGATAACAAGTTCAAACAGGTGCCATTAATACAGGTAACGAGTGGAGGACAGAGGAGCCTCTTAAATAAGAAGTTACAGGTCTTTGAGAGCCAGAAATCTTGCTTGTTTGTAGGTGACCAAATACTTATTTTCCACCATAATTTGCAAATAAATTCATTAAAAATCCTACAATGTGATTTTCTGGATTTTTTTTCTCAATTTGTCTGTCATAGTTGACGTGTACCTATGATGAAAATTACAGGCCTCCCTCATCTTTTTAAGTGGGAAAACTTGCACAATTGGTGGCTGACTAAATACTTTTTTCCCCAACTGTATAACATTTTTGAAATGCGTTTTTCTGGATTTTTTTGTTGTTATTCTGTCTCTCACTGTTCAAATAAACCTACCATTAAAATTATAGACTGATCATGTCTTTGTCAGTCGGCAAACGTACAAAATCATCAGGGGATCAAATACTTTTTTCCCCTCACTGTATTATGACTGAATTGAACATATGTCCAGTATAGGGTAACTCACCTGTCTTTTGAGTAGTTATATAACTCCTTCACATCAACCTTCTCTTTGTTCAGGCTGCCAAGGGACAGCTTCTGTTTGGTGAACCATTTTCCTCCCACGGTAAATTTGAAATCAGCCACCTTTGCCTGTACGTTTCCATCTGCGTTCATTTCTTTCTTGTCACCAAATGTCCCACTGTAGTCCACAAAGTCACACTCCTTGACAGCTGAAGGCACGTTCAACATTAGAATGGAATCCTCTATGCTATTATACCACATCATATACACAATACACTCCGTTTACAAAAGTATGTGGACACCCCTTGAAATTTGTGGATTTGGCTATTTCAGCCACACCCGTTGCTGACAGGTGTATAAAACCGAGCATACAGCCATGCAATCTTCATAGACAAATATTGACATAGAATGGCTCGTACTGAAGAGCTCAGTGACTTTCAACGTGGCATTCCAACAAGTCAGTTGGCAAAATTTCAGCAAATTTTCATGGCCGAGCAGCCGCACACAAGCCGTAGATCACCATGTGCAATGCCAAGCGTAAAGCTCGCCGCCATTGGACTATGGAGCAATGGAAACACGTTCTCTGGAGTGATGAATCACGCTTCACCATCTGGCAGTCCGAAGGACGAATCTGGGTCTGGTGGATGCCAGGAGAACACTACCTGCCTCAATGCAGAGTGCCTATAAAGTCTGGTGGAGGTGGAATAATGGTCTGGGGCTGTTTTTCATGGTTCAGGCTAGACCCCTTAGTTCCACAAAGCGAGGTCCATACAGAAATGGTTTGTTGAGATATGTGTTAGAACTTGACTGGCCTGCACAGAGCCCTGACCTCAACCCTATCGAACACCTTTGGGATGAATTGGAACGCTGACTACGAGCCAGGCCTAATCGCCCATCATCAGTGCCCGACCTCACTAATGCTCTTGTGGCTGAATGGAAGTCCCTGCAGCAATGTTCCAACATCTAGTGGTAAAACTTCCCAGAAGAGTGGAGGCTGGTATAGCAGCAAAGGGGGGGTCCAACTCCATATTAATACCCAAGATTTTGGAATGAGACGTTCGACGAGCAGGATGTCCACGTACTTTTGGCCATGTAGTGTATCTATAACAGCCACATCCACAACATGATCATTTTCATAATTTATTCAGAAAGACAAGAGTAGGATAAATAATGAAAATCAATGTTCAGATATTTTAGAACAACAACCCATAGTTATTCTTCACTAATGTGCTGCTCTGGTGCTTACTTGGGCTTAAAGGTGAGTCTCCAGGCTCTCTTGGCTTCAGGACATCACTGAGGGTAAAGCCAGGGGACTGGTATTTGGGTTCCTGCCAGAAGCATCTGGGCCTGGTCTTGACAATGAGTGATCGGAGATTCAGCTTGTCTGTGTCGTTCAGACTGGACACAGGGATCAGGCGTCCATTATGATCTGTGTCCTTCACGAAGGCTTTTGTGGCTTTGGAAAACATCTGAGAGATGGTGGTGGATCGTGTTTCTGGCTGCAGCAGATGACAAAGACACAAATGAAAAATGCTTTTAATAAACAAAACTAGGATGAACACATGAACACTCATTCAATACAACAGCTTCTGAGGAGCATTCTAAATACATTTCACACACATTTCACACACGTGAAAGATGGCAAGACACTCAATAATGCAAACACAATCCAGTGAAAAAGAGTATCAGAACAGAGTAGCATTGCTTTTGACAAGACAGGAAACAGGATATAAAGACAAACAGGATATAATTTCTGTCAAAAACATTGGTTGTGTATCATTCAAGGCTATCAGTAGCATGCTGTATATTTTTCTTACTTAATCTTTATATATTGCAAAAATCAGCAAGAGCTTCAATACTAGGTTCTCACCGCTTCTTCCCCTGGGTCCTTACGACACTGACAGATTGTAAAGATACAATATGTTATTAAGAATGACATACTAGAATGTTTCAAATGCAGGGTGCAGGGAATTGGTCATACATTTTGATGTCCTTGGTACATGCCAAATTACCGGGAATTATAATCTGGTTTGTACGTAAACTATGTAAAGAGCCCTGTACAAATTTAAAGGAGAATGCCACCACTTTTATACCTCATATTCATAATAAAATGTTCCTAACAGATCATTTGCTGATTATCTGACTCCTAAATGAGGATTTCAGGTCAGGATCTTTTCAAATTAGAAATATGTTTAAGACAACAGAGATCAACAGAAAGCCAACAACCTAACATTCACTACTAATTCAAGTTTTCTGTAAAGCCAAATACTCTTACACCAAGGGTATGAAATAAACAATCAAATGAAACTAAAATAACACCTCTTACCCTGGACTTTGAGAGTTGAAAATAGTTTGATCTTGATCCAAATAAGCAATGAACAGATACTGTACTATTAGATAAGATGCGAGGTAACGTGTTTTAATTTGGCATATCTACCAAATGTGGTTGAAAATGTCAGTCCAACTTCTGTTACTAACGAATTCAGAAAGTTGACCCCCATGCTTTGTGCTTACCACAGACGTGTAGCCTACCACTTTAGACAGCCTACATCTGTGGTTATGCATGTGCGACTACACCCATACACAGAAATCTAGGAGAACCCTTTTTGGTTTCAGGTAGAACCATTTTGGGTTCCATGTAGAACCTTCTGTGGAAAGGGTTCTACATGGAACCCAAAACAGTTCTACTGGGAACCAAAAGGGTTCTAACTGGAACCAACAATGGTTCTTCAAAGGGTTCTCCTATGAGGACTTTTAGGTTCTAGATAGCACCTTTTTCTGTGCATGGCTGTGCTTCCGACATTCTATTATCAATGATGTCACAGCTGTCCGACGCATATATGTATCCAAAGCATAACCTCAAAGAGCAGTAATTCATTATAGTATTTAATAACCTGCAATAGCTTCAATAGTTACCAGGTTTTCACAGTTTCTTCCTCCAGGTCCTAGAGATTCTGACAATTATTGACTTCAATCGCTGTGTAACATCATGGGTAACTCTGGGTGTCGCCTTTCAGTTGAAAACAATTTAATTTCCACTCTTTTAGTACTTTAAACCAGCACAGCAGGTTTCACCGATCATAATGTGTGTGTTTATAAAGATGTTACTTTCCTTTTTAAACATCCTCTCCCCCATATATAAGAGGGTAGCTTTGTTATCTTTTGAGTCGCTAAATAACCCTTTCACTTCCTCTTCCTCTTTCTTCCGTCTGCCAAAGGACGACTCGAGTGTGGAGGCATGTTGAGTCCCAGAATTAAAGTTTAAATCCACTGCATCTGTCGCCAATTGTGTCCCCACATCTACGCTGGCTTCTCTGCTGTCACAAAATGTCCCACTGTAGTCCACAATGTCAGTCTCTTTGACAAGTGAGGGAAAGTTCAACATTAGCATGGACTCTATTATGCCACAAAACACATATCTGTAACAGCCACGTCCATGACATGATCATGTTCATAATCGATTCATACATAGAGTAGCATGAATAATAAAATCAAAGATCTTTCACAACAACTTTCACACAACAGCCTACTGCGGTGAAGAGAACATACAGGTTGTATAAATCAGCAAGTTTAAATACATGTGTGTAGCCTAGAACATTTCTGTGTTAAATGATGGGCTGCTCTGGTGTTTACCTGGGGTTAAGGGTGTGTCTCCGGTGAGCACATTACTGAGTGTAGTCAGTCGGCACGCATTTGTTTTGTTTTTTTCCAGAAAAAGAATGTCCGTGGCAGGCGTTTGGAACCAGTGAGAGAGGGGTCAGTTTGCCTGAGTTGTTCAGAGAGGGCACAGGTATCAGGTTGCCATCAAGATCCATGTTCTTCACTAAGTGATGTGTCACTGAGGCAAACGTAGGCAAGTCCACAGGAGACAAGGAGACAGATGAGGAGATGGTCGAGAATGGTGTCTCAGGCTACAACAGATAAACAGAAAAGACAGACAAAATAAAAAATGAGTCTAAACAAGCCTTCTCAATATAGCATTGAACCTAGTGTAAACTACATTTTACAAAAAGCTATCCAAAGCATGCATTTCATATCTCTGTTGAAGCAATCTGCAAGAGCATCAATACAGACCAGCTTCTCACCGTTTCTTCCTCCAGGTCCTTGGGACTCAGTCAGTGGTCAATCTCTGAGGGGGATGTGTCAGTCGCAAGCCTTTTGGAGGAGTGTCTTTGCCACACCCACTTCTCACAATTACACAGGAGCTGCATTCCAAATGCCTCCACAGTTTGTTTGCACATTTTTGCAAATATATTGAAAATGAAATACAGAAATATCTCATTTACATAAGTATTCACACTCCTGAGTCAATACTTTGTAGAATCACCTTTGGCAGCAATTACAGCTTTGAGTTGTCTTGGGTATGTCTGTATCAGCTTTTCACATCTGAATTTGGGGATTTTCTACCCATTCTTCCTTGCAGATTTTCTCAAGCTCTGTTAAATTAGATGGGGAGTGGTGGTGAACAGCAATCTTCCCGTCTTTCCACAGATTTTCAACGGTATTCAAGTCTGGGCTTTGGCTGGGCCACTCAAGGACTTTCACATTCTTGCTTTGAAGCCATTCCAGCGTTGCTTTGGCTGTATGCTTGGGATCATTGTCCTGTTGGAACGTAAATCTTCACCCCAGTCTAAGGTCGTTTGCACTATGAAGCAGGTTCTCATCAAGGATTTGCCTGTATTTGGCTCCATTCATTGTTCCCTCTATCCTTACCAGTCTCCTAATTCCTGCCGCTGAGAAGCATCCCCATAGCATGATGCTGCCACCACTATGCTTCACGGTAGGGATGGTGTTAGACGTGTGATGAGCTGTGCCTGGTTTGGTTCAGGCATAGCTCTTTGCATTCAGGGCAAAGAGATACATTTTTGTCTCATCAGATCACTGAATCTTTTGCCTTATGCTCTCAGTCTTTCACGTGCCTTTTTGCAAACTCCAGACGTGCTGTCATGTGCCTTTTTCTCAGGAATGACTTACTTACATATAGACAGGTGTGTTTCTTTCTAAATCATGTCCAAACAATTGAATTGGCCACAGGTGGACTCCAATCAAGTTGTAGCAACGTCTCAAGGATGATCTAGGGAAATTGGATGCACCTGAGCTCAATTTGGAGTGTCATAGTAAAGGGGTCTGAATACCTATGTAAATGAGATTTCTGTTTTTCATTTTCAATCAATTTGCAAACATGTCGAAAAACATGTTTTCACTTTGTCATTATGGGGTATTGTGTGTAGATGGCTGAGTGAAAAAATCTATTTAATCCATTTTGAATTCAGGCTGTAACAACAAAATGTGGAATAAGTCATGGGGTATGAATACTTTCTGAAGGCACTGTAGGTATTGGCTGGTGCAATAACATTTCCCCAAATCTTATCTTATCTCATACATAGCATAAGTATACATAGCATGGTTGGGGTTAATTACATTTTAATTTAGAATTCCAATTCAATTATTTAATCCATGAATCAAGTGGAGAATTTATATTGATTTCAATTCTAATTTCAACAATCTTCAAGTTATGGAATTTAATTTGAATTAGAATGTTTAGACAGTTTGAATTGGAATTTAATTGGAATTCTAAAAATGTTTTATTTTGGAATTTAATTGGAGTTCAATATTATTCCCAGTTAATGGAATTAATGCACTTAGTATAAGCATTTTACTGCAAGATTTGTTTTAAGTCATTTCAACTTGTATTTCTATATTTCCAGTGTAGCTAGGATATCTGAACAGTGAAATGATCAGCCCGAAAGCCTGAGTGAATTGTTGGGGATAACATTGAATTGGGAATTGAATTCTTGGAATGTACCCAACATTAGAATTGAGAGGATTTTTATTATCTATGAATTCAAAGACTGGGGCAGCAGGTTAGAGCGTTGGGCCGAAAGGTTGCTGGTTTGAATCCGCAAGGTAAAAATCTGTCTGTGCCCTTGAGCAAGGCATTTAACCCTAATTTGCTCCAGGGGCTCTCTACTACTATTGCTGACCCTGCAAAACAACACATTTCATTGCACCTATCCGGTGTATGTATTAATAAAAACATATTACTAACCTGGAATTTGAATTGAATTACATGGAATTTCCAGGGAGAGGGAATTTAATTAGAATTGAATTTGTGGAATGAACCCCAAACCTGATACATATTATAATATGTGAACTGTTTACCACTCACTTTCAGGCACTGGAGTTAAGATTGACATATTTAGTTTAGGTATATATTTTTCTTTAGTATCTTGTGCATATTATGCAAGATCTTCAACAGGATTCTATTTAGAAAAATACTTTATTGGACGTGATTCCGTTTTTAGGAAAGAAGAGGAGGACGCTCAACCAACTTAAGTCGAGGTGCAATCAAAAAATGTAATTGTCATTGCAAAGGCAAAGGCGCAACACTTGCTCACCATTAGAAATTTGTTTTATTTAAGCAAGGTTAAAAGACAAACTTTGGGCCTACAATGGCCTTCATCAGAATAATCACTCAAAGTTTTATGTAGGGCATGGGGAAGACGATTAGGGAGAAAACTCTATTCAGCTGGTGGTGCTATGAGAAAAGGTGTGGTAGGCTACACAGGTAGGTCCTCAGGGTGAGGTCTATGGCTCCACCTAGAATTCAGAAACGGATCCAGCAACGGATCCAGTAAAACAATTGGGAAGACAGGGCAAGCATATTTCAACTACAGTCAATATAATTGATGTAAAACCTTTACTATAGAATACATGTTGAATATGTTAGGTATTGGGAAATAAACAACAGGGCTAAACTAGCGATAACAAAAGAACATCAAAAGCATACCCAGATGGTCATGTGTCGCCGCACCCTTTGCTCTCTCTCCTCTTTATCCTATCCTCTCTACCTTCTGCTAAATTCTTCTAACTTCTGTATCCTGACACTGCCTCTTTGAACCTACTCTCCTCCCTTTCTGCATCCTTTGACGCTCACTGTCCCCTTTCCCCCCAGCCGGCCCGACCTTCCCCTCCCGATCAGTGGCTGAGTGACTCACTGCATGCTAACAGAACACGGCTTCGGGCAGCTGAGCGGAAATGGAAGAAAACTCAACTTCCGGAGGACCTATCATCCTTCCTCTCTCTCCTCTCTTCCTTCTATTCCTCCGCTGCTAAAGCCGCTTTCTATCACTCTAAATTTCAAGGTTCTGCCTCCAACTCTGGGAAACTCTTCTCCACTTTCTCCTCCTTCCTTAATCCTCCAACTCCTCCCCCTCTCTCCTCCCTCTCTGCGGATTACTTTGCCAACCACTTTGAACAGAAGGTTGACGACATCCGCTCCTCTTTCACTCAGCCTACTGAGTCCACTGGTCCCACTCACACACGCCTTGACCTCTTTCTCCCCTCTCTCTCCAGATGAAATCCTACGACTAGTGATGATCCTGCTGCCCGACAACCTGCCCACTTGACCCCATCCCTCCTCCCTTCTCCAGACCATCTCTGGAGACCTTCCTCACTTCCCTCATCAACTCATCCGTGACCACTGGCTGCATCCCCTCTGACTTCAAGATGGCCAGAGTTGCTCCCCTCCTCAAGAAACCAACGCTCTACCCATCTGACGTCAAAAACGACTACTTCTTTATTTTCTTTCCAAACCACTTGAGCGTGCCATCTCTGACCAACTCTTTTGTTATCTTTCTCAGAATGATCTTCTTGACCCTAACCAGTCAGGCTTCAAAGTGTCTCACTCAAGTGAGACCGCTCTCCTCTGTGTCACAGAGGCTCTCCGCATAAGAGCATAATGAATCCCAAAGCTGGGACAAGAAGATGTGGTAGAAATATTAGTTCAATAATATCTCTCAGAAACCGGAGCTTGTGAATTCAGAATAGACTTTAATACAAAGTAACAAAGCCAAGCTGATCTATGGAGCAACTGTCTGCCCTGACTCGGAGCTCTCCTTTTATACAGTTTCATGCTTACACAACGTACATAGTTACTCCTCTTTATGTAAATTATTAACATCTTTCAGTGCCACGCCACCATTAGCTTCCAAAGTCCACGTGTCGTCTCTCTAGGCAGGGCCTCTGCCCCTTATCTCATTGTATTGGTGGTGTCACTCGGACAATAATATACGTACATACATTAAGGATAATTACATAATGTGTTGATTATATTCCCTATCCAGGCATGCATCTGGATTACAAAGTGTCAATCATGTTTATTCTGTTTTGCCCTTATCACTAGAAAATTACGCATAAAGACCAGCTACATTTTCACAGAGGCATAGGCAAATAAATAAAAAAATACAGTACCAGTCAAAAGTTTGGATACACCTACTCATTCCAGGGTTTTTCTTTATTTTTACTATTTTCTCCATTGTAGAATAACAGTGAAGACATCAAAACTATGAAATAACACATGTAGTAACCAAAAAAGTGTTAAACAAATCAAAATATATTTTAGATTCTTCAAAGTAGCCACCCTTTGCCTTGATGACAGCTTTGCACACTCTTGGCATTCTCTCAAACAGCTTCATGAGGAATGCCTTTCCAACAGACTTGAAGGAGTTCCCACATCTGCTGAGAACTTGTTGGCTGCTTTTCCTTCACTCTGCGGTCCAACTCATCCCAAACCATCCCAATCGGGTTGAGGTCAGGTGATTGTGGAGGCCAGGTCATCTGATGCAGCACTCCATCACTCTCCTTCTTGGTCAAATAGCCCTTACACAGCATGGAGGTGTGTTGGGTCATTGTCCTGTTGAAAAACAAATGATAGTGTAAAAGCCTGGTGTAAAAGGTCCAGAATGGTCTGGACTGTCTGCTTCTCACTCTCATCCATAAGATCCTCCATGTCAGGTGTCTCATCAACCAAATATTTTCTATGGGGTTGAGATCTGGAGACTGGCTAGGCCACTCCAGGACCTTGAAATGCTTCTTACGAAGCCACTCCTTCGTTGCCCGGGCGGTGTGTTTGGGATCGTTGTCATGCTGAAAGACCCAGCCACGTTTCATCTTCAATGCCCTTGCTGATGGAAGGAGGTTTTCACTCAAAATCTCACGATACATGGCCCCATTCATTCTTTCCTTTACACGGATCAGTCGTCCTGGTCCCTTTGCAGAAAAACAGCCCCAAAGCATGATGTTAAAACCCCCATGCTTCACAGTAGGTATGGTGTTCTTTGGATGCAACTCAGCATTCTTTGTCCTCCAAACACGACGAGTTGAGTTTTTACCAAAAAGTTATATTTTGGTTTCATCTGACCATATGACATTCTCCCAATCCTCTTCTGGATCATCCAAATGCACTCTAGCAAACTTCAGACGGGCCTGGACATGTACTGGCTTAAGCAGGGGGACACGTCTGGCACTGCAGGATTTGAGTCCCTGGCGGCGTAGTGTGTTACTGATGGTAGGCTTTGTTACTTTGGTCCCAGCTCTCTGCAGGTCATTCACTAGGTCCCTCCGTGTGGTTCTGGGATTTTGCTCACGGTTCTTGTGATCATTTTGACCCCACGGGGTGAGATCTTGCGTGGAGCCCCAGATCGAGGGAGATTATCAGTGGTCTTGTATGTCTTCCATTTCCTAATAATTGCTCCCACTTTCTTCAAACCAAGCTGCTTACCTATTGCAGATTCAGTCTTCCCAGCCTGGTGCAGGTCTACAATTTTGTTTCTGGTGTCCTTTGACAGCTCTTTGGTCTTGGCCATAGTGGAGTTTGGAGTGTGACTGTTTGAGGTTGTGGACAGGTGTCTTTTATACTGATAACAAGTTCAAACAGGTGCCATTAATATAGGTAACGAGTGGAGGACAGAGGAGCCTCTTAAAGAAGAAGTTACAGGTCTGTGAGAGCCAGAAATCTTGCTTGTTTGTAGGTGACCAAATACTTATTTTTCACCATAATTTGCAAATAAATTCATTAAAAATCCTACAATGTGATTTTCTGGATTTTTTTCCTCAATTTGTCTGTCATAGTTGACGTGTACCTATGATGAAAATTACAGGCCTCTCTCATCTTTTTAAGTGGGAGAACTTGCACAATTGCAAGAGAGGGAGAACTTTTTTCCCCCCACTGTATCTACCAACATAGGAATTTGTTTTCCCTGTATGTTTACCATAATGTTTGGGCCAGATTGATCTACCTGTGGGCATTGCTGTATCAAAGATGTTGTTTACCCTAAGGGGTGTTCCTGTTCTGAGCTACCTCCTTTCCTCTGTGGTTCCAATCTTTTTGGACACTCATTTCTCCAGTGGTTTGTGACAATGGAAGCAGTCTTCATCTCCATTATTCCTATTCCTATTGTCCCCATCTCTATCCCCCCTGAACAAGAACCCCATGGTCACTCTGACAGAGCTCTAGAGTTCCTCTGTGGAGATTGGAGAACCTTCCAGAAGGACAACCATCTCTGCAGCACTACACCAATCAGGCCTCTATGGTAGAGTGGCCAGACGGAAACCACTCCACAGTAAAAGGCACATAACAGCCCACTTGGAGTTCGCCAAAAGGCACCTAAAGACTCTCAGACCATGAGAAACAAGATTCTCTGTTCTGATGAAACCAAGTTAGGGGAGCTGATGAGCTTCTGTGGGCCCAAGAGCACCCAAGTTCCCCCCTCCTTTTATAGGCCCGCGGACCAATTTAAATTGATGTTATTATTATTATTATTATTAGATTTTTGGGGGGGGAACTCAGTCTGGGTCTCAATTTACTGTTGAGAGATAGATTAGTAGAATACACAAGGTGCAGTTTCGACATTTGGTTGTGCATTAGCAGTTTCTGTCTTGTTTTGTCAGTCACTGACAGTCACTCACCCATGTCAGCTAACATTTTTTAGATTGGTAAATCAGTCTCGCCTGCTATCTAAACTTGTAGTCATCATGTTTCGAATTACCGACCGGGGGTCCCCCATTGATTTTGTTAGTCACTCTCACTCAGATATCATATTAAAACTGCAAACATTGTTGCTTAGGGCAAAATATGACTGCATGTGGTGTGTATGGATGGGGTCCGCAGACCCCGCGAGCCCACTGAGGACCTCAGGCCACTGTGGACCCTCATGATGAGTTCGACCCGCGAGCCCACTGTGGACCCTCATGATGAGTTCAGACCCGCGAGCACTGAGGACCCTCATGATGAGTTCAGACCCGCGAGCCACTGTGGACCTTCATGATGAGTTAGAGTCGCGAGCCACTGAGGACCCTCATGATGAGTTCAGACCCGCGAGGCCACTGAGGACCCTCATGATGAGTTCAGACCCGGGAGCCACTGAAGACCCTCATGATGAGGGTTCAGACCCGCGAGCCCACTGAGGACCCTCATGATGAGTCAGACCCGCGAGCCACTGCGGACCCTCATGATGAGTTTAGACCCGTGAACCACTGCGGACCCTCATGATGAGTTTAGACCCGTGAACCACTGCGGACCCTCATGATGAGTTCAGACCCGCGAGCCACTGAGGACCCTCATGATGAGTTCAGACCCACGAGCCACTGCGGACCCTCATGATGAGTTCAGATTGTTTGTGGCCACCACCCCCATCAAAGTTCCCCATCCCTGGTCTAGTGGTTGACGGATACTGAATGGAATGTTACATGTTGTTCTTTATGTGAAACCCTTCATGGCCCTGTCACACTCAGGTTGTAGATGTGATTTACAACACATTTGACATAATGGTTGTTCATGAGTTTGTACAGGGCCAATGTCTAGCGTGTCCTACAGTAGGACCATTAAGGTCCAGAGGTTGTTTGTGTAGGTCATGTTCTATCAACAAAGGATATCATACGGAGGATCATGTTGCTTCATGTAAAAGGTTCAGGGTCTTAGGAAGGCACTGCCTTGTAGAGATCATTATGTTTTCTCTAACAATAGATTTTTTACACATTATTTATGTCCCATTGTGGTTGCAGTCAAATCGTACTTATGATAGTTTTCTGGTTGTGAAATCTCTGTGATACGGTGGCAGCTGAGTCAAACTTCCTCTAGATGCAAAGTGTCTGTTGTTTGTGTGTTGGCAGAACTGGAGAAACTGAGTAGTCATTTCCAGCTGCTGTCAGCCCTGCCAGCAGCCACACGTTCCTCTCTGCTCCAGCTCCTCAAGACAACCATGGAGGATGGAGAGGCAGTCAGTGTGCTGGAGAGTGAGTGTGGTGAGTGAGACGTCCAGAAACAGGGCCCAAACACACACACACCACACACACACACAGTCCTACAGTAGACAGACGCACTGTTTGTTTTCTATGAGCGGATTACTGGACATGAATCAGCAGAGCTTTCTGAAAATGCTGAACATACTAACCTCTCATTACGTCCTGTCTGTTGTCATTATAGTGCAGCATAGAATCCTAAATATCTTCTGTCTCTAACCTTCACTCTTTTGTTTACATTTACAGTTGAAGTCAGAAGTTTACATACACTTAGGTTGGAGTCATTAAAACTCGTTTTTCAACCACTCCACAAATTTCTTGTTAACAAACTATAGTTTTGGCAAGTCGGTTAGGACATCTACTTTGTGCATTACACAAGTAATTTTTCCAACAATTGTTTACAGATAGATTATTTCATTTATAATTCACTGTATCACAATTCCAGTGGGTCAGAAGTTTACATGCACTAAGTTGACTGTGCCTTTAAACAGCTTGGAAAACGTGACTCAGTTACACCAGCTCTGTCAGGAGGAATGGGCCAAAATTCACCCAACTTATTGTGGGAAGCTTGTGAAAGGCTACCCAAAACGTTTGACCCAAGTTAAACAATTTAAAGGCAATGCTACCAAATACTAATTGAGTGTATGTAAACTTCTGACCCAATGGGAATGTGATGAAAGAAATAAAACCTGAAATAAATAATTCTCTCTACTATTATTCTGACATTTCACATTCTTAAAATAAAGTGGTGATCCTTACTGACCTAAGACAGGGACGTTTTACTAGGATTAAATGTCAGGAATTGTGAAAAACTGAGTTTAAATGTATTTGGCTAAGGTGTATGTAAACTTCCTACTTCAACTGTAGTAGAGAAATGAACATTACATTCTAGTGGACATTCCTGCAGTCGGCATGCCAATTGCACGCTCCCTCAAAACTCCCTCAAGACATCTGTGACATTGTGTTGTGGGACAAAACTGCACATTTTAAAGTGGCCTTTTATTGTCCCCAACACAAGGTGCACCTGTTTAATGATCATGCTGTTTAATCAGCTGTCAGGTTGATTGGCAAAGGAGAATTGCTCATTAACAGGGATGTAAACAAATTTGTGCGCAACATTTAAGAGAAATAAGCTTTTTGTGCATATGAAAAATTTGGGGGATCTTTTATTTCAGCTCATGAAACATGGGACCAACATTTTACATGTTGCGTTTATATTTTTGTTCAGTATAGATACAGTGCCTTCAGAACATATTCATACCCCTTGATTTATTCCCAATTTTTTGTTACAGCCTGAATTTAAAATGGATTAAATATTTTTTTCCTCACCCATCTTGACACAATACCACATAGCAAAGTGAAAACATGTTTTTAGAAATGTTTGCTAATTTATTGAAAATGAAATGCAGAAATATACCATTTACATACGTATTCACACCCCTGAGTCAATACTTTGTAGAAGCACCTTTGGGAGTGATTACAGCTGTGAGTCTTTCTGGGTGGCAGGTAGCGGCAGGTAGCTTAGTGGTTAAGAGCGTTGTGCCAGTAACCGAAAGGTCGCTGGTTCTAATCCCTGAGCCGACTAGGTGAAAAATATGTCGATGTGCCCTTGAGCAAGGCACTTAACCCTAATTGCTCCTGTAAGTCGCTCTGGATAAGAGCGTCTGCTAAATGACTAAAATGTAAAATGTAAATGTGAGTCTCTAAGCGTTTTCCACACCTGGATAGTGCAACATTTGCCCATTATTCTTTTCAAAATTCTTCAAGCTCTGTCAAGTTGGTTGTTGATCATTGCTAGACAACCACTTTTAGGTCTTGCCATAGATTTATGTAGATTTAGGTTAAAACTGTTATTTGGCCACTCAGGAAAATTCACTGTGTTGGTAGGCTTGCCATCACAAAGGGGATGAATTCTTATTGACTCAAGACATTTCAGCTTTTCATTTTTAGTTACATTTACATTTACATTTACGTCATTTAGCAGACGCTCTTATCCAGAGTGACTTACAAATTGGTGCATTCACCTTATAGCCAGTAGTACAACTACTTTACAAATTTTTTATATATTTTTTTTTATTTGTTAATGTTTTTATTATTTATTCGTTTTATTATCTTTTTTTATTTTTTTTTAAAAAAAATTCTTCTTTTTTTTTTTTTGGGGGGGGGGGGTAGGGGGGGGTAGAAGGATTACTTTATCCTATCCCAGGTATTCCTTAAAGAGGTGGGGTTTTCAAATGTCTCCGGAAGGTGGTGAGTGGACTCCGCTGTCCTGGCGTCGTGAGGGTTTCATTTGTAAAAATGGTCCCAAAACAGAATTCCTTTGTATGGGTAAGGGTGGTGCTTTGGGCAAAAAATTTACTTATAATAAATTTAAAATCAGGCCTTTTCAAAAATGGGAAAGGTGAAGGGGTGGTCATTTTCTATGGAGGTTTTTTAATACATAACTTTGTCTTTTTATTTAAACCCAAGTACCTGGAAAATGGGGGGTGATTTTTCTATAGGAACATTAAAAAAAAATCCCGTTCAAAAAAAAAGGGTTAACTTTTTCGACAACCTTAAAAATCAAAAAATTTTTCTGGTTTTAAATTTTAAAAAAAACACCTTAAGAATAACAAAATTAACAAACCCATTAAATTACTTTGAAACTTGCAAAAAAACATTTAAACTCCCAAAATTTTTCGAAATTGAACAATCAAAAAAATTTCTCTGTGATTTCAAATTGGTTAAAAAACAAAAACCGTTTAATGAATCCTTTCCTTAAAGGTTCATATTATATCTACATTTCAAATCAAATTCATCTTATCTACGTCTCATCAATCAAAGCGTTCCTACCTCTCCCTCTCTCTTCCCCCCCTCTCCTCCTCCCTCCTCCTCGTCCTCTCCCTCCTCCTCTCCTCTCCTCTCTCCTCCTCCTCTCTCTCCCTCCTCCTCTCTCTCTCCTCTCCTCCTCCTCCTCCTCTCCTCCTCCTCTCCTCTCCTCTCCTCTCCTCATCCTCTCCTCTCCTCCTCTCCCCCTTTTCTCCCTCCTCTCCCTCTCTCCCTCCTCCCCCCCCCTCTCCCTCCCCCCTCCTCTCCTCCCCCCTCCCTCTCCCCCTCCTCTCCCCCCTCTCCCCCCCTCTCTCCCTCCTCCTCTCCTCTCCTCTCCTCTCTCCCCGCTCCTCTCTCCCTCCTCCCTCCCCTCTCTCCCCCTCCTATCTACCTCCCTCCTCTCCTCTCCCCTGCTCCTCTCCCCTCTCCTCTCCCCCCCCCTCCTCCCCCTCTCTCTCCCTCTCCCCCCCCCCCCTCCCTCCTCCTCCTCTTATTTGAGTTCGATGGATGAGAAAGCTGCAGGGAAAAAAGCCTACTCTTCAAGAATCTATGCGTATATATCCATAATTTATGGCTAGATGACAGTGTAATGTTGATATACTGATCTGCACCCTCTCTTCCTTCCTCAACGGATGGAGGGGGGCACATAGGAGGAAAACTTGGGTGTGGCTTCAGTTCTTCAACTCAAGAAAAACGCTTCGTCTTCTGATCATTTGAAGACTTGCAGCTTTCCTAAACACTAATTCCTGGTAAGCCTACTAATCATACAGGGGTGGTAATTGTATAATGTTAGTATAAAGTGCCCATTTGTTGTTAACCTAAAGCCTGGTTTCTTTGGCTAATGTATTTTATCAGTATAACGATGCAAATATTTTTATTTGTACAAAGGAATGTCAATTTGAAAGTAGTGCACAATGTGAGTGTTCTAGGTCGTCACACAATGTAGGGAAATCATATTACCAGACCTGGGTCAAAAATGTTTTCTGAATTTCAATTAGGCTACTTTTTATTGGCATTTGCAAATACTTCAAATATGTGTTTGTGCTAGTATTTGAAAGGCTGCATGTTCAATGATTTGTATTTAAATGTCTGGGTAGTAATTGGAAACTCACCATTATTTACACATTTCTATCAGCATTAGCAATAACTACTCCTACATACTTTATGCTAAAAATACAATTTAAACATTATCATGTACTTCTTCAAGCTATAGTTTTTCTTTTTGATAGTATTTATACTAAATGGCGGCCAGTCAGTGTTATGTTTGCAAGGATTGCTGCACATTTATTCCTAATAATACTGCCCCAGTGTCACGGTTTCGGCCGAGGCTGCTCCTCCTCCTGGTTCGGGCAGGCTTCGGCGGTCGTCGTCCCCGGAGTACTAGCTGCCACCGATCTATGTTTCATGTTCGTTTGGTTTTGTCTTGATGTTGTACACCTGTGTCTAGTTAGTCCTCGTTAGTGTCCTATTTAGTTCTCGTTGTGTGTGTCTGTGTTTGTGTGTGATTGCTCTTCTGTTTGTGGTGTTTTGAGCTACGTCACTTTCCCTCCAGTGTTTGGGAAGGTTTTTCGCACATGTTAGTGCGCCGTTTGTTTGACGCCTGTGTGCGCCGTTATTTCGCCTCCGGGCTTATTGTGCTCATTTTCTACGTGAATATTCCACTAAAGTCTTTTGGACTGAGCTTCTGCGTCCTGCGCTTGATCCTGCACCACACCCACCTTCAGCACCCCTTGACACCCAGGAGGACATTCTCTGAGGCAATGATCAAGCTTAAAGGATTGAGACAGGAAGTCAAGAACAATGCTGGGCAGGACGTGTTATGTTTGGAAGCGAGTGCTGCATGTGTCACGATCGTTCACGGAAGATACGTGACCAAGGCGCAGCGTGATAAGCGTACATTTTATTAAGTACACAACAACTCGACAAAAACAACAAACAAACGATACGTGAAGTCCTGTTATACAAAACAAAACCCCCCCCCCCCACCCGGGGGCCCCCCCCCCCCCCCCCCCCCCCCCCCCCCCCCCCCCCCCCCCCCTTTTTTTTTTTTGGTTTTTTTGGGGTTTTGTTTGTTTTTTTTTTTTTTTTTTTTTTTTTTTTTTTGTTTTGGGGTTTGTTTTTTTTTTTTTTTTTGGTGTTTTTTTTTTTTTTTGGGGTTTTTTTTTTTTTTTTTTTTTTGGGTTTTTTTTTGGGTTTTTTTTTGGGTTTTGTGTTTTTTTGTGTTTTTTTTTTTTTTTTTTTTGGGGTTGGGTTTGTTTTCCCCCCCCCCCCCCCCCCCACCCCCAAAACTTTGGGGTGTTTTTTTTTTTTTTTGGGGGGGGGTTTTTTTTTGTTTAAAATTTTTTGGGGTTGTTTTTTTTTTTTGGGGGGTGAAAACCAAAAAGCCCACCCCCAAACCCCCCCCCCCCCCCAAAACCCCAAACCCCCCCCGCCCAAATTTTCCCAAAAAAACAGTAACCCCAGGGGGAAAAATCCAACTTTTAAATAATTAAACCAATGAAAAAAAACAACCCACCCGGCTTTTTGACCCCGGCCACGTACAGACCCCCCCCAAAAAAAAAAAACCCCCCAACCAAAAAAAGGGGGGGGGTTTCCCCTGGGGCGGATCCCCCCCCCCCCCCCCTTTTCCCCCCCCCCCCCGGGGGGGGGGCCGCCCGGGGGACGGCCCGGGGACATTTTTTCCCCCCCTTGGCCCGCGGAGGGGAAAGGGGCCCCTGAGCGGTTTGCCCCCCCCCGGGGGTGGAGCGCTGACGGTGGGAAGGGGGAAAGGGGCCGGCCCGGGGGGCCCCCCACCCCTGGGGGGGGGGGGCCGACGGCCTTCCCCCCCCTTTGGGGGGGGCGGGGGCGGAAAGGGGGCCCGTCCGGGGGCCCCGGCCCCTGGCCGGGGGGAAGGGCGAAACGGCCCGGGACCAGGCTGGGCAACCAAAACCCGGGGGGGAAAACAGGGGGGGCCCTGGGGGCCCTGCGGTGGGGGAGAAGGCACAGGCCGGGCTGGACTGGGAACACGCAACACTGGTTTGCTGCGGGGAGCCGGAACGGGCCGGGCCGGACTGTGGAGGCAGACTGGAGGTCTGGAGCGGAGAGCTGACACAACCCGTCCTGGCTGAATGCCTATTTCCACACAATATGTGTGAGGCATCAGCACAGGACGTACAGGGCTGTGCACTCGTACTGGCGCTACAGCACGTGGCACTGGCGCAGGATGTATGGGACCGAGGAGGCGTACTGGAGGCCACGAGCATTGAGCCGGCACACCCCGTCCTGGCTGCATGCACCGGACGTACAGGACTGTGCCGGAACACTCACGGCACAGTACGTGGCTCCGCATAACACGGAGCCTGCCCAGTCTCACGCTTCCTAGCCTGAGTACGGGGAGTTGGCTCTGCTCTAACTCTAGGCTCCGCCAACCACCCTTTTAGCCCCCCCAATTTTTTTTCTTGGGGCTGTCTCTCAGGCTTCCTCCTCGGCCGGTACCCTCTGCGTTGCCGCTGCTCCTCTCTGTAGCGCGCCTCCCACATTCTCCTCCCAAGGACGGCGATCCATTCCGGCCTGAATCTCCTCCCAAGTCCAGGATCCCTTCCCGTCCAGGATCTCCTCCCAAGTCCAGGCTGTCTGTTCCTGGACACGCTGCTTGGTCCTCTTTTGGTGGGATCTTCTGTCACGATCGTTCACGGAAGATACGGACCAAGGCGCAGCGTGATAAGCGTACATTTTTTATTGTACTTAACACACGATCAAAAACAACAAACAAACGATACGTGAAGTCCTAGGTTATACAAACACAAACCTTAATGTGACAGAAGATCCCACCATTACAGGATCAAGCAGCGTGCCCGGGGAGGAGAAGCTGGCGATGTCGCAGGTGGGCACATGTTGGTCTTGGGAGGACATATTCGCGGGCAGAGGGCCATGGGCAAGAGTAATGCCCAGGCAGGAGAGGAGAAACGACGACGGACACGCGAGAGGCAACCCCAAGTAAATTTTTTGAGGGGGCACACGGCGTGGACGACGGGGCTGCTAGAGGCAGCTACAGGGCGAGTTTGCGGACTAGGAGATGAGGCCACCAGGTAACGGGGGCCATTGGTCATGAGGGGGAAGGAGAGTGTAGATGGCACGGCGAGAGGTAGTACTGGTCCCCCGCACAAGCCCAGTGGTGTGGTGTTCCCAGTATGGTCCGGCCTGTTCCTGTCCCTCGCACCAAGCCTGTGGTGCGCGTCGCCAGCCCCGGTCCAGCCTGTTCCTGCTCCCCCCCACCAAGCCTGTGATGCGTGTCGTCAGCCCAGTCCGGGCCTGTTTCCTGCTCCCTGCACCAAGCCTGTGGTGCGCAGTCGCCAGCCCGGTCCGGCCTGTTCCTGCCCTCGCACCAAGACAGTGGTGCGCGTCGCCAGCCCGGTCCGGTCTGTTCCTGCTCCCCGCACCAAGCCTGTGGTGCGCGTCGCCAGCCCGTCCGGCCTGTTCCTGCTCCCCGCACCAAGCCAGTGGTGCGCGTCGCCAGCCCGATCCGGCCTGTACCTGCTCCCCGCCACCAAGCCAGTGGTGCGCGTCGCCAGCCCGGTCCGGCCTGTTCCTGCCCCTCGCACCAAGCCAGTGGGTGCGCGTCGCCAGCCCGGTCCGCCTGTTCCTGCCCCTCGCACCCAAGCCAGTGATGTGCGTCGCCAGCCCGGTCCATCCCGTTCCTGCCCCTCGCACCAAGCCAGTGGTGCGCGTCGCCAGTCCGGTCCGGCCCGTTCCCTGCTCCCCGCACCAAGCCAGTGGTGCGCGTCGTCAGCCCGGTCCGGCCCGTTCCTGCTCCCCGCACCAAGCCAGTGGTGCGCGTCGTCAGCCCGGTCCGTCCCGTTCCTGCTCCCCGCACCAAGCCAGTGGTGCGCGTTGTCCAGTCCGGCACGGCCCGTGCCTGTTCCACCGGTGCCTGGTCCGGCACCGGTCAGCTGCTCCACTCCGGAGCCAGAGCAATCCGCTCCACCGGGGTCCGGTCCATCTCCAGTCAGCCGATCCACTCCGGAGCCAGAGCAATCCGCTCCACCGGTGTCCAGTCCAGCTCCGGCCAGCGGCTCCAGTCTGGAGCCTGTACGGTTTGATCCACCGTCGTCGGTTCCAGCTCCAGTCAGCGGTGCCAGACCAGACCAGGAGCGCAACGGGGAGGTGGAGAGAAAGTGTTGGTCACGCCCGGAGCCAGATCCGCCT